GTACTTATCTTCGAGAGGCTACAGAACTGTTAGGAAAATTCACTTCTTTCATTCCTTATCGTGCGGCATTTATTCATCTCGAAGTATATATCCTATGTTCTTTTGCATCCACTCGTGTATGAAATTGCGCACTCGATATCAACTATGCACCAACGGTTCATGATACTATAGAGGGGTTATAAGGGAGCTAGGGTTGCTCAACCATTATTACAATGTGTCGTTCAGATCGAGGATGCGGAAGTATTAAGAGATCATTCAGTTGTGCACATTGAGGTGCAGTAGGTTCTGACATCTGGTTGATAAGTATGATATTAAGAAGGTTTAATTGATTGCCTAATCATCACAATCATGGTAGGGTCGCGAGGTGGATGTAGATCTGAAATAGTTGGTGGTATTAAAAACCATGTAGTTCGTATGGGATTTCTATTTAGCGAAGGGTACATACGCAACCAACGCACTGGAGGAAGCGAGTTTAACTGTCATGAGGATGACATGCGCCAAATAAATGGCTTGAGGTGTCTTATGACCGGTGTCCTATGAGCGATGAATGTTAGTATTGTAGATCATCAGAATGTGTTCTATGGCTTCGCTCCAAGTGAGGGAGTTCACTATTAACGATCAGATTGCGGGGTCATGTGTTATATGAGTTTTGGCCTGAGATGTATTTATGTGGTATTAAAAGGTTCTACGAAACTTGTATATGATTATGAGCTGAGATTTGTATGGGATGATGCTGTTACTTGCGGTATTCCCACGTCATTAATAATTCTATATTTCAATATTAACGGGGTCATGAAAATAATTTTAGAATACTCGGGGTGTTCTAGTAAGTTCTTTTAATGCACCACCGGCACATGGTTCTTATAATGGTTATTCCAGTTATCCGGCACAGACTCAATGTGAGCAGCCGAACCTGCAGAGGGGTTGTTATGAGTGTGGTGATACAAGACACATCAAGAGAAATTGTCCCAGACTTGGGAGGGGTGGATTTTATCAGAACACTCAAACTACAAGCTTTATTCCAGTTAATACTTCACGTGCATAGTGAGTTAGAGGTGGAGGCCAGGCGGGTAGTGGGCGCCTAAGAGGTGGAGGCCCGACCCGTTGATATAATCACTATGATTTAGCTGAGGCCAATACACTAGATGGTGTCGTACATTCATGATTTAATTTATAATAAAAGGAGCACTATTCTTATTTTGATTCAATTCTGAATATTGAGGTGAGTCCTCCTATTATGCTCCGCTTATGGGTGAGCTTCATAATTTTATGACCCACTTATATGTTTATCCATGTTGGGAGAATTGAGGATGTGGGCCCGTGTCTGTTATTTTTATTTTTTGTGCACCATTGAGGGATATAAGTCCAAAAGTAAATTTTATTATTCATCACATTGGGTTTAATGTGTTTCGAAATAATTGATTCCAAATTTTATGAATTACATGCCCTACCGGTATAAGGGTTCATTATGTGTTGTGAAAAATATTTACGATATTTAGTGAAAAAAAAAAAGAAATTGAAAAATTTCAGTTGGCACAATGTACAAAATACTTGTGATCCGGAGTTGAGGACGAGATCATCGCATTTTTATATGATGTGAAATATTTAAATCGGGTTACAAGCCGCGGTGAAAGTTATATAAGGACGAGGTCTTTGTGGTGAATTATTTATGAGTTTAAATTCTCCCTTTGTGAAATTTAATTTGTACAATAGTATTAATAAGGAGTCATGCCCGTTAGGTTTATTGGATAATTCTTGTATATTTTTTCTGTTCATATTCAACCATTTTCGTGGTGTAAATATTGAGTTTTAGCCTATGAGGTGAGTGGCAGGTGGCATTAAATGTGACTCATTAATCCGAGTAAGTAATCATGAAGTGTTCATGCCTCACATTCTGTTGTTAGTGTTGTGAAAATTCGAAATGAGGTGGTGGTTAATATGAGATTAATTGATGATGCTGGAATTGATTATGAACAACTTAGAATGTAATCATTGATGATGCTGGAATTGATTATGAACAACTTAGAATGTAATCATTGATGATGCTGGAGGTTAATATGACATTTTTGTGCAGAGCCAGGTATTAGAGGTATCAGACCCGGACAGAGTTAGAATGTGATCGCAAGGATTCAAGGTAGAGCTGCTTGGTCATCGCAGTCCCTTGGAGTCTCTTCATTTCATTGTACTGTTAATTTTTAATCAAACAGTATTGTATATTTGGTCCTCGTGATTATTCCATGTATTTAGTTAGAGTTCGTAACTCAGTACTACCAGTCTTGGGAGGTTGTATATTCTTATTTGTTCCGTTGTTAGTTTTGATTACTTATTTAATTAAAAAAAATCTTTAAAATGTAATTGAAATCGGCTTACCTAGTATTAGAGATTAGGTGCCATCACGACGCCTGTGGCGAGATTTTGAGTCGTGATACTTTTCTTGAGCTGCTTGTAAGCTGTCTGCATGAGCTGCTCGCAACCTGCCTGTTTAATAAGAAGTTGTTGCAAATCATTTCATTTAGTTGCTTGCAACCTGCGTGCATCAACTGCTTGTAGATAAATTTCAATAGTGATAATCTTTTTCAGGAAGAATTATCTATAGCGGAGTAATAAATGGACATCCACAATATAATATTTTCATAACAGAGGTGTATTTATGCGATTCCATAATGAGGATATAATTAATCCTTTTTATTACTCCCTTAATATTCCAGTATTTTCAAAGGTATAATTAATCTAGGACAGTACTGTGAAGCTAAGGGCAGTTAGCATGTGGGTTACGGGTTCGATCGAATTCAGTAGTTTGGTCTAAAGTATTTGTTATAAGAAATTCATTGGATATGTACAAAATTATTAATTTAAAACCCAATAACTTAAAAGGATTAGAATCCCGAACTCATAAGTTTCAAGTTCCGACTTCGCCTCCGCATAAGCCACGTTGATTTCTATCAAACTACCTCGTAATGCTTGATTTTAATATCTTTTTTGCACTCCCCATTTCCTATATATTCCATCTAGAGTTTTATGCCACAGCATATGTTCTTTGGTTAAATCGTTCAGAAGGTGAAATTTCATTCCTTTTTAATTCACCCAATAACTCACTATTTGTCAACTTCAAACTAAATTACTTGTAAATATCGATTAAGAAATCTCTAGATTCAATTTTGTTTAATCTAATTTAACAAAATTGAAATNCCCCCCCAAAAAAAAATTTTGGACCCAATTAAATTCTCCACATGTTAGTTGAATCAAACTCAAGTTAATGAAACGACTCGAGATTATTTTACTAATAAAAAGTTGTTAGAGGAGATGGACTTAAATTATTGCACGTTATAGCACATGGATTTGACCTGGAACTAAAATTTCAATAATATTTCATGCACATGTTTCTATTATAATTTAAACCTTGATTAGCTCATAATTCACAATAGGAAACTTGATCGTTGATTTTTAGGTGTCCCAAGTTTGAAATCCACCAATATGCATGTACCTGTTTGCACACCATGATCTTTTCTTGGCCAGTGTTTATTCTACACGGTAGAATGTTAGAAGGTAGTCCAATTTTAAATTTTTATATCAATATTATTTTTTTTTGAAAATTTTCACTTGTAGCCGCTACCCTTCAGGTGTGCACTGGGTAACCTGCTCACTGTGCAATAACTCGCAAATCACACAGGAGATATAAACCGCACCGGCAAGCCCGGTGCCACGAGCACTGACTGAGAAGGCTGCTGGTGAGGAAAATCGATTCCAGATCTCCTATATGGGAAACAACTCACCTAACCAACTCAGTCAACCCTTACGGGCATATCAGTATTATTATTGTTATTCTCGTATTTTCTTATTTTTCAATTTTCATTACTACATGTTTCCGTTCTGTGGGTTTCTTATTGTTTTGTTATTTTGATGTTCTGACTATTCATTTCTTCGGTATTTTCAACACGGCTTCTTCATTTTTGTTCTTTTTTTTCTTGTTCAAACCTGCTGAGAAATGCTTTTTCTTGAGCCGAAAGTCTATAGGCTCCACAGGTTAGAGGTAAGGCACCACACACATTATCCTCCCCAAACCCCATACTGTAGGAATACACAGGGTATGCTGTTGTTTTGTTTATCCTACAATTTAAGCTATATTCAATGTTCTAAAATAATTCAACTGCTCCTCCTCTTCCTCTCCTCCTTATTAGTGTTGTTACTTTAAGAGGAAGCTTCCCTAATTCTATTAAAGAAAAAAGAAAAAAGTTTTGGCCATAGCTGCTTATAATCAGATTCAAGGTCAGCAAAAACGGCGAATCTCATTGCTTATATGCACACGATTGAAAGTTCTCACAAATACAGGATTTCCAAGAAAGAGAGAAGAGACTTAAAAGATAAAAATGAGGACCAAGTATTTAACAAGGACATGTTCTTCTTAACATATGAGTATTCCACGAAAAACGCTCTCGTCAAAACACACACTAATTGCTGCTCAAAATTGCTTATTAGTAAATTCTAATTTTCAAAGTTTAAAAATTGATCCTATGATGTACCACCACTACATTTTGAGTACAAATAAAATTGGACCAATTCCAACCCGTCATATAAGTCTGAGATTTGCTTCCTCATATTGCCAACCCTGTGTTCTGCAATGTGAATATTTCCCAAGTTAACGTAACATACACCACCTCTTGGAAATCTAGTATTTTCCTTAAAAGTATGAAATACAATCTCTCAAAAATGTGATAAACCTAAACGCAATTGAAGTTTGTCCGTCCCCCTATCTCCATGTAGTTTTGCTAAACTCAATCAAACATTGAGGTTGTGACCCACAATCACCCAAGACTGCATGCGGAGAGGCTCTAATACCCTATCTACCAACACAACCCTCTAATGATAGTCCTCTAAGCTAGCACAACTTTAAAACGTGTAGACTTACTTATACAGTCGAACATCTCTACAACAATCAAACATCTTTACAACGTTTTTGGTTACTATAGTAAAGTGTTATTATAACATAACATACAGATTAATTCCAAGAAAAACTTGACTTTTATAGTGAACGACTGTTATATAGATATGTTATAGATAGATCTGACTGTATATCCAACATCCTATTAGTAGATTTTCAGGCTTTTGTCAGTACCCATGCTATGTTAGGATATTTACTTTGAGATGTCATGCAGTAAAAGGCTTTAGCCCAATTGCAGTCAGTAATAAATTCATTACATCAAATTCTCCTGCTTCTAATGCAGTCAGTTCTCATGTCTTGGCATTAGGGGAACCCAAAATATTAGCTGCACCCTTTGCCAAATGGCCTTTCATACCCCCACCAGCTTGTGCTGAGCCCTTTGCATTTGTCATCTCGGCAACTAGACCAGATTTCTTTATCTGCCAAAAGGACGACCAGTCAGCAAACAATAGCGCAACCAGAATCCACACCATTTAACAATTGACCTATATATGTCACATTATCTTCTCACCTTGAAATAGAAATGTAAAGACAAAACCAATCACACCCAAACACCTCACTTCGGTTTGGGGATATGAACATACTTCGGAACTTTTTGTGGGACAAACAAGGGGAAGCAAACAATTTGACTTACCGCTGCAATTCTCTCCTTGTGGATGTCACTTGTAAACTGAGAAACCACAATTGAAACAATCAAATATCCATAACAGATCCGATCAAAGATAATATCGCAAGAAAGTACCTTCTCGGAAAAATCTAATTTTGAAGTGATGCTTTCAGAATAAAGGAGTTATTGAACTCACCGGCTTCTTGTAGGTCCTGATCTCATCCCCACTAAAACCTGGGAGGGTCATGTTCCAATTCCTTTCTGAACCAAAGAATCTATAATAGGTTAGGTACTGCATATTGCTGGACCAGTCAGGAATAGAAGGTAACTTACCAAGATGCAGAAGGATGTCCTTTGCTTCCAAAGTATTGGATTTTCGATGCTTCGCCAATGAACAGCCAAATGTGGTAATCTGGTCAAGAGCAAAGTAGTCAAGTACAAGTGAACAAATGATTAGCACACTGCCAAAACAGAATTCTCATTTGCCTGAAGATTACACAGGTGACTTTGATATTAACAACTTATTCACCACAAGAGATTCAAGCATAAATTAACCCGAAACCGACAAATACGGAAGGGCTAATTTGAAGAGAGATTGCACCATATTCAACATCCCCTCCTCTACACTCTTTAGGTTTATAGAATTACATATAATATAGCTAAATTGAAAGGAAAAAAAAGCTTTTAAATCGCTTGACATTTATATAAAGTTACATTTCAAACAAATCAAAGTATCCAATTGGAAGAGATAAGTGATAACAAGCCACTGATCTGCATGGGAAGAGACATATCATAAATAAAACAAGAACTTAAATGAAAATTGGACCATGATTTAAAATTCACCTTAAAACTAAGAACATTGGTTTCATTGTAGAAAACAACTTTATGTAGAATAGTCAGATCTAAGAGCAAATTTTATTTCCTACTTCCTAGAATTTATTGAGTTAATCTAGGAAACAAATAGTAGTATTTACAAATTCAAGTAGCAATTTCAACCTTTCTTGTACTTACCAGGACGTAAGCTATAAATGAAACCACTATACCCCTGAGCTTACCCTATTTCTCTTTTTAATTTTTGAGATAAATAACCCTGAGTCTACCACATTAAGCAGAACAGAATAGTAAAACTGAAAAGTAATGGCATTAACTATGACAACGAAAAAGCTAGCTTTATCATATCAAAGCAAGGCCAAACCTCGACCCCACCAGAGTTCTTCTAAGAGTAAGCTACAATATAACAACTCCTAACCTATCAGATTGTCAGGTTACATTTTAAATTGAAAGTGATGTTTCAGTGTGAAACAAGTAAAACATGAACTTACAGATTCCACAAATTCCTCTGCTATATCAACAAGGACGTCTTCAACTTCAGCATCCAATTTCTCTGATGGATCTATCTGTCAAGGAGAGATGCAGGTCAAGCAATCGCATCATAAAGGCAAAGAGAATACACAGATACTTGATACCAAAATCGAATACCAGGAGAGACAAAGAGGACACAATGCTAAGAGAGGTTTTGTTCACTTTCCAAGTTGACTATGAATGACAAGGCTACTATTATTATATTTATACACCTCAAAATTCAATAAGATTTCACTCCTTTTCCTCCCTACCTTATACCTTTAAGAGGTTATTTTGGCAAAAATGAGGCCAAAACAGAACTTCGTACCAAAACCTTCACCTGTGGTAAAAGCCCCTTGTGGATTCTCCACTCCACGTCTACCTAAAATGATAAAAGTAAACTAAAGCATATTTTTAACTATAAAGATAAAGACTTAATTTTAAACTAAAGGATAAGATGAAGAAAAAGTAACTTAAGTGCAATCCTTTTTTATCGGGAGCTACATCATCTAGTTAATAATTATAACTTCCCAATCACTGAACCTAGTACTGCTGCATTCTCAACAGAATGCACCTCATCCTATCAACTGATATGGAGTTCTAATAATCTTACTTCAACAAAAATTTCAAAACCATTTATCTCACATGACTTCGCAACAAGAACTACTAATTAGAAGAAAACAAAACAAGAAAACTGCGAAGTAATTTGCGGTGAAAGGTCCTCATCCTTTGCAGGAATTACTATTGTGAAGTGATCCATCCAGCTATGAGCCAATGTAGTGAAGATGGTAAAGCTTTAAACATATATTCTCCTTTAGATTAAATCAGTATATACAGGAATAACTTCAAAACAAAAGGAGTCTTTAAATTAGGTGGATCATGGAAAATGTGCAAAAATGAAGAAACAATGAGTTTAGCATGTCCACAGTAACCTGGGCCAGAATCTCCTGGATGCTTCTCTTGCTTAGAATCCTAGTACAAGGTTCCTCAGTCTCTAAAGTGGTAACCTTACTAGGAGGTCCTGGCTTGACCGTAGCAGATTGCATCAATGCATGAGATGAAGGTCTCTGTACTCCCAATCCCTGCCCCCTGGCAAGTGGCTGATTAGATAATGATTGTGGGATCCTCGATGGGGGCATCTGTTGTCCCATATGATCTTGGGATTGACTTGAGGTTGAAAGCTGTGACTGTTGGGCAGAGGATGAGGTAGTAACAGTATGCTGATGCTGCGAAAGAATATGGGACCTTTGATGCAAAGTCTGAGGGCTAATTTGAGGCCTTAGTGATGGTGTTGGCAAAGGGGGTTTTCCTTGTGCTCCTGAAGATAACCACGGCTGATTCTGGGCTTTTGGACTTTGAGACATAGTATGCAATTGGGAAGAAGGTAATCCCACTGACTGAACTCTCAACATGCCATGGCCTTGAAAATTCTGCAATGGTAAATAAAAAAGAAACAGAAAACCTCAATAATTTACAGCCAAAAACCATGTGAATAATGATCTACAAGCACAATCTGAACATAAACAACCAAATAGTAGAAAAGGACATACAGAGAAATGTTTCTATCTTGCAAGGAAATACTAACCTGTGTAGCAGCAGACTGACTACTGATGCTCGTCTGAGGTCTAAGAGAAGAGGCGACAGGTCTCAGCTGCTGAGGAACCCCTGCTGGCCGCATTGGTGACGTTGAACCAAGTGATCCCATCATTCCCATCCCATGCATTCCTTGTACTGGCTGCCTCACCTACAGACAATATAGAATCAGTTAATATCCAATACAGAATGTAAAGCAAGAACACAGGGGCGTAAATGCACACAAAAGTATGAAGTACCGAAACACCCAACTCAACAACAACAAAAAGCCCAGTAATTTCCCACGAGTGGGAATTGAGGAGGGTAAGATGTACGCAACCTTACCCCTGCCCTGCAAGGGCAAAGCCTCTGAAAGACGGTATATATCAGCATTCAAACCTATTCCTTCGTGGCTAGCCCGTTTCCGATAGACCCTCGGCTGGAGAACGGATGAAAAAAGTAATAGCAACAAGTAGGAATAACAACAAGATAAAATTAAGACCGAAGCCAAGAAAGCAGTTAAATTCTAGGTACTAATATCAATCAATGAATAAAAGGATATCATACTAACACTAATGCTAGCTAACTAAGTAAGACAAAGAGAAACATTCGACTACCTACTATCCTTCTGCCCTAATGTTCGACCTCCGCACCCTTCTATCTAGGGCATGTCCTCAGTCAGCTCCAGCTGCGCTATGTCCTGCCTGATCACCTCTCCCCAAGACTTCTTAGGCCTACCTCTACCCCGCCTAATACCCACTAAGGCTAACCTCTCGCACCTTCTAATTCTGGACATGGGAGTTTTTGACAAGCCAACACTCTACTCCATACAACATAGTTGGTCTAACTACTACCTTGTAGAACTTACCTTTAAGTCTCAGCGGCACATTCTTATCACATAAGACACCGGAAGCGAGCCTCCACTTCATTCATCCTGCTCCGATACGGTGCGTGACATCCTCATCAATCTCCCAGTTAACTTGTATTATAGATCCAAGGTACTTGAAACTCTCTCTCCTGGGGTGACCTGTGTATCAAGCCTTACACCCATGTCCGCTTCCTGGGTAACTTTGCTAAACTTGCACTCCAAGTACTCCGTCTTGGTCCTGCTCAGCTACACCTCCTCGAGTCTCGTCAATCTGAACTATGTCATCTGCAAATAACATATACTACGGCACTTCCCCTTGAATGTGTCGCGTTAATGCATCCATCGCCAACGAAAACAAAAACGGGCTAAGGGCTGATCTCTTATGCAACCCCATCACAACCGAAACACCAAACTCAAATAACCATATTCATAATTCAATTAAATAGACCCAACCACATAAACCAGAATAACCAAGATCCAAAAATCACCTAACAGTTCATGAATTATGTTCCGGTGTTTTAACAGCGATTCAGAATACTTAATCATGCATCCTGAATTGTTATCTATTTGTCTTACTATTTAGTACTCCTCTGGTCATTTTTGTTTATCATTTGAATTTTTCACATACCCATTAAAAAATCGTTTAATAGCATTATTCATTAGGGGTATTCAATTAAATTAGCATGATTTCTTCGTTAAAAGAATAAGTAATTATGATTGTATGCCTTCTTGGAGTAGTAAGGGTAGAATTGGAAAAAATATGTTAATGTCTTCTTGTTTATCTTAAAATATTAAACAGTATGGAACAATTTTTTTTGACCCAAACATCATGGCATAGTCAATTATCTCTTAACTTAGTTATGTTAGGCTCTTTCCTCCGCATCTAATGATAGTACTTTATATTGTCTCCACAATAAAAAGTGAGTGAACGGCTAAGACTGGACCCTGCATGGTGGATTCACAATCCAGTGCCCGGATCCTTTTGACTACATCAGCCCTTACACCTTCACATGTTAAAGTCTCAAATTTGATTCTCATATTACCCAATAATGTGAATTTAATATGGTTATAGCAAATTGTTTGAACTCTAGACGTAGCATGGTACTTATCTTAATTTTTTGTAAGGTGGTGTTCGGACCAGTTTGCACGCATCTCATCGAATAAATTTGTGCAGCTTTTTTGCCTTTGATTGATGGGATTTAAACTTTGAACTTTCATGGTCTTCATTTCTCTTTATCTACCCCTAAGCCACAGGCTTGGATGCTCCTCTAATCTTTTTTCAGTAATTTTACTGCTTAGCTTCTCTTGTTTAAATATCACGAATGATCTTCAGGACCTACTCCTAGTGGATTAGTTTATAAATTAGGCTGCAATTGCAAACTTGTTGCTTTTGCAGGAACTAAAACATCTAATACGCAAAAAAATTAATTGCAATTGCATTCACATAGGAAAAGGATGCACCCAATTTACACGACACTATTTCATTATTAGTCCGTTCCAGAAAGCATGACACGTTTCTATATAGACTAACAATTTAAGTTTAAACTTTCCATTTTACTTTAATAAGAAGCTTTTATAGCCATACAAATGTTAATACATGTTCAAGACAATAAATTTCAAAAGTTTTACTTTCTTTCTTAAACTCTTAGTGGAGTCAAACTATATCACATAAATTGAAACGAAAGGAATAATAAGAAAGTGAAAATTGAATAATACCTGTGAGGCAGTTGAGCTGGGGGCAGAAGAATCAGGCAAATTGCGACCAAATTGCTGCCCAAAAGAAGGCGGCGGCGGAGTCAATGAGGAGAAAGAGGTAGGAGGGTGATGAGCAGGTACTCCCATGGCCATTCCACCACCTCCTCTAGGGTTTTGCATAGAAAGGGAAGAAGACGAAGAAGTAATCGAAGAAGATGATGATGAGTGAGGTGGCGGCGGCGGCGGTGGAGGAGGTAAAGAGAAGTGTTGAAAAGGTGAAGGCTGTTGCCATGGCCTGTTAAAGGGTTGTCTTGTTTGAGCATTTTGTAAAGTGGGTGTTAAAGGGTTTTGCTGTTGAGTAGATGTGGCGGCTGCAGCTGCGGCGGCGATGGTAGTGGTGGTGGTAGGGTTTAGGTTTTGTGGTGGTTGTGATTGTACTACTGAGGTAGTGGTTGTTGTAGTAGACGGGAGTTGACTGGTTGCGGCGGCGGAGGAGGAAGGTGGTGGAGGCGGAGATGGTGGTGGAAGCTGTTGTTGTTCAGTTGGCTGTGAAGTGGACGTCGACGGCGGCGGTGTCGGCGGTGGTTGAGTTTGCTCCATTGGAATGAATAATTTCTTGATTTCCTATGATTAATAGAGGGGAAATGATTATATATAAATGATTAGGCTGATAATATAATGTTTACAATTTAATCTCACTTATTCAAGCTGAGATGAGAAGTTGGCTTAGGAGTTAGGACTTGAAGCTGAGTACTCAGTGCCAAATGTTGTAGGAGTTCGATTTAAACCGCGAGATGGTTAAAATTATGTTTCAATTGCTAGAGAAAATAGATTGTAATGTAACCGATAGTTTACTAAAATATTCTTAGTTATTTTAAATATTAAAAAAAATATTCCTTAGATTAAACAGTATTAGCTAAAGGCAGCCTCATACTTCATGTTTAACATCATGTACTTAACACGGGTTACTTACTAGAAGTACTAAAACAATAAACATGCCAATATATGCACGAGCCACAATATAAAGATAGTGTTATAAGAAAAATTAAATTATGGTGGATGTATACTTTTCCTCCATAATTCTCAAATGCTTAATGACATATTTCTATGCTTAATGACATATTCAATGACATATTTTTCTTCACTTTTCATGCCTATATAAAGGCCTTGTAATAAATAGGAAAATACACACAATTGAAGAAGAAAATCTCTTTCTTCTCTCTATCTCCATTTCTTGTTCATGTTTTACTAAATTGCTTTTATTTCATAACATGTTTTATTCATGTTTTACTAAGTTGCTTTTATTTTATAACACGTTATCAGCACGAATTGCTCATTTCATGATCTTCTACGTCAAGACTATGTAAATTATAAGCAAACAATGAGATCAAGTACAATAAAAAATGTCTTGGATGATAATACAGAGATAAGTTTTACATCCATTTAAACTCATTCATACTTTCATATCTTTGCATTAACTTTATGTGCAGTGTTTAGTAAAAATATTTTTTTTCAATTGTATCCAGTGAAATAAAGAACTGGAAAGGTATGTCTTTATTTGCTACATCTCTTATAGGACAAAGATAATATTCCAATGTATATATATGTTCTAACCTTTTACATACTATGATAGATAATTATTAAGGTAATTTAGTAATAATATTTTTACCATAACATGATGTATTTCATTGAAAGCAAAATTGGCATATATTCTAACTAGCATTTTTGTTGCAGATGAACTGTATCAAGATTGAAATAGTTATATATGTCTTCTTGAAAGTTAATTTACTTATGCCTATAACTATGAAGTAATAATATTTTAAAGGCTCGAGTGCGAGTCCTAGTGAATTTTTGCCTATTATGCCAAAGATTGAGGGTAAGACGATGGGTTCAAGTCCCAACGCACTATGTTGATGAAAAGACGTTGGATTCAAGTTCCAACGCATTATGGCCTAGCATGCCTTTATATGGGTAAGGCATTGGGTTTGAGTCCTAATGCACCATATTGATAATAATAATAATAACTAAAGAAAAAATAATGTAATTTTCATGAAAAAGCATGAAGCTTGTCCCACTTGATTTGCTCCATTCTTGAAGTGAATGTGATAGCAGTGCATGATAAGTCTAAATAAAGACAAGTGGTTGACCAATGAATGTGGGCGTGCGAAAGGCCAAAATAATAATAGTTATCACTATGGTAATTATAAAAAGGGAGAAATTCTTTGAAGAGAATGTGACTTGTGATAAACATTGAGATTGCATACTCATTCCTCAAAGCGAATGTGAATATATATATATGATAAAGATTATGCATAATAATATACTTGTGCATAGTTGGATAAATACTACAACTCACCTATAAGGGAGGTTTGAGACAAAGAAAGATAATGAATATTATTGTGTAGTTATATGAATATATCATTGGTCGCATGCATGTGATATGCCAAAAATATTTTGTCATGCCTTATAAAAGTTATTAAAAGCAAAATTAAAGCAATAAATTATTTTGCTTGTGATGATTTTGAACATGACAATTATTATGATATGATTCTCTTTGTGAAAGGAGACATTCATTATATGGATGGTGTGACAAAAGATCTTGTAATACAAAAGCAGTTAAGAGCTCTGAAAGAACTAATTTGTTACTACCCGGATGAATGAAATTGTT